ATCATCGGAGCTTAGACATAAACTGTTCGTGTATATTTATAAACAGTGATGGTAGAAATCACATATGTTACATATTTAGAGAACTGTGCTTTCTCTGTGCAATGCAACATGTTGATATTGTCAATACAATGCGATAAATCGATTGCCGATAGATATTTACACATTGAATACATACTTGATATTGGATAATAGAATTGCTCGTAGTCATTCGTCTCAGCTCGTAGTGATAAAATGGTTTGCGTAAATAGATCATACATTTCGGATTGTTTTTCATCGAAAATAAATAAAATTGTCCAATCACGATTGGAAAATTCCTTCGTTTCAAGTTGAAATTTCAATGCGTGAATGATCTTCTCAGCTAGTTGTTTTTTGTTCGAATAATTTTCCCATTCAGCTGTAGAAACTGCAATTATTTTCATATCGGTCGAACATAGAGTTACGATCTGCGTTAAACAAATTGAAACAAATTCTTTTATTGACTCTTCAAGAATGATTTCCGTCTCATCACTATCAAGTTTTATTGAAGGGGGTGTCCATGGAATAAATAAAACTTTTCTACCACTATCCGTTTCAGAATAAAAATTGCCGCAATCAGGTTCTATTTGCTCTTTGACAGCATCTGTCATCGTTGAAATAATAGTAATGTCTACCTAGAACAACAACGATAAGACATAATAAACAAAATGGTTTTTGAAAGGACTGACTGGTGGTATTATTAAATCTTTTGTTTTAAGAATTTCTATTCCACCAGTTGATATTGATAGTCTGTTCAACATCTGTACTGAAGCAATAAACCGATTTGATTCGTCAATAATGAATGTTGACGTTGATTTTATTGTAGATGTTATCCTAGTTTTAGGCAGTTTGACGAGTTCGTTGTTGGTTTGAACGTTGATTTTATCAATTTGACAATTATACTTTCGAGCAATTTGTTCTATTTTCAAATGTTCATTTACTGTCATCGTACAAGCATTTTCAAGACATTGAAAACTAATGGTTGCTGTTTGAAAAACCAAAGCATTAATCAATTGTTTGATTTTTGATGACAAATATTGTGGTGCATGAAACAAATTTTCACGTATTTGGATTTTTACATTGTCATCTTTATATTCCAATTCAATATTTTTCAATTGATGAACATAATTGTCCAATAAATATTCACGCTAAAATAAAAATAATAATCAGTATAACAGGGAATGACTATGATGCTAAAGAAGAGACAAAAATACGCTTGGAATAGACAATAAATCAGAGAAACTTTCGAAGAATATTTTCATCCGTTTGGTGTAGATGATAGTGGTACACGTCAAATTAATAAACTTTACCGGATCTTTGAAGAGTTATTTCCATATTAAGGAGAGACTTCATTGTCTCTTTATGAACTGCTCTGATTTTTTACTGTCTGAGAATTCATGGCAATCTTTGAATGACGTCTGTAGAATTGTATTCCTTTCTCGTTCAACTTTCTTAGAGAATGGTCAAAGTCTTTTCTGCAAACTTATTAACATAGTTCTTGTAAAAGCTAAAACGTGAAGTGTACTAAAATTATCACATTCAATACTAGATAATAGTCAGAATTGAATTTATTCAGTGTCCTTTTTTGTGTCTGTTCTTTTTCAGCTGTTATGATATTTTTTCTGATAATTTACTTTTCTTCATTTTAGTATATTTTTTTGTTGGTCATCGCTTGTTCATATATGATACTAACATCGGTTGTCTGGTCACTTTATTACAACACACAATCATAAGTTACATTTTAATGTTCTCTAAAACTGAAACAACGTTACTACTAGTCATCATTCAAAAATTTGTCTTTATTCAACCGTACCTCGAATTTTTGGATGGCCGGCTCTATAAAGAATAGACTTGATACAAATCAATATTTGAAAACAATAATGATAAAAACAGTAACCAAGAAATATTATTCGATAGATGTTCATGAATATAAAGAAAGAGATCGACTGCATGCCTTTTCATGAATAGCTTTATTTTATATCAGAACTTTTTTTAAACCTAAACAGCCATAAGATATTATGCTAAAACCGTATAAGATAGACGATGCGAGAATACCTAGGAAAGTTTCTTCGAAGCACAGTTGCTTACTTGCTACAGAAAATTAAAGATTTTAAATAACTACTAGCAATGCTGAGATGCACTACACAAAATAGAGTCGATTCTATTTTCAAACAACTATCGAAAATATGCTCTAGAAATTGAGCACCATTTTCTGAAATTTGGTTTTCAATTTTGCTCAACACAAAAAAAATCCAAACTGATCCCACGCAATCTATTATAGACCTATCAACTCGGTTTTTGATTATTGTCTTTCATTTCATCCTTCTTGATAAACTCTCTACAAAAGTTAGTACATAAGCGCATAATAGTCTTACTTGTGTAGAATCAAGTTCGATGTTGATCGTTTTCATCTCATGTTTGTGTAACAAACGCAACAATTGTTTACTTGCATTGTTTACCATACTTTTCTGTCCGAAGAAACTAATTTTTAATTCTGTTTGTAATGGATATTCACAATAAATAATAGCCAAAGTTTGCAATTGTTGTTGTTGCTTTTTTTTATCATTGATAAATTGATTCAGTTCTTTGCGAAAATTTGTCTGAATACTATTGAAATTGTGTATAACTTTATCTTGTGCATAGGCTATTTCGTTATTGATTGTGCTATCAATGCACTTTTCTGATACATGAAACGTGTAGCTTGGACTAAAATAATGAACGACATAATATCCAGATAATATATTTGTCTTTTCCCAAACAGTAAATACTCCTTTATTATCAAAAATCTTCTGTATAACATCAATGGCCGAATCCGAGTAAATTTTCTTCGACCAATAAATCACTAAATAAAAATTACAATGAGTTAATTATAATGATAGGATAGCTTCTGTGATTGGACGTCTTTGGTTGCTTAGTCAAGAATAAGAAGGTCTTCTCCTCGTTCACAGCTAGTATACCAACATTCACATTTTCTCTGCGTCTTATTATCGAAAAAATTATAGACATAGCAAAATTGTTTAATCGCTAGACATCATTTATCTAAACTGAATTATTATTCAATATTTCTCAGTTGTTTAGCCAAATATTTTGTAGAGATAACTTTCGAAAACGCAAAACTTACGTTAGAAACTATGCAATGAGGATCGTTGAAAATAGTTAGATCCTAAATAGGTTCGACCACGTTCTATATCAACAAGTAATAGTTATCTGTTGAGAAAAAAACTAATTCACCCGGAGTTAGAAAAATATCAAGAAATCAAACTCAATCAATCTTAAATTATTGGATTTCATGTATCTCTGTACTCGTTAACACTTTTCTGGCATATCTATATACTTACTTGACAAAGAGAAGTTCATATAAGAACATGCAGCTTTGATCTTGCTACGGCAGTGAGACTATTTCTTTCTCGCATGATGCGGAACATCTTTGAGATCACTGAAAAAACTTCAATCGAGTAGTCGTTGCAAATTTTTTTGATGTTTCACAATTGGCAACGCCATATCGTATAATTCTGTCCTATGCTGGAAGGTTCTTCGTCATCAAATAATAGTTTTCAATTTTATAAGCAGCCTAGCAAACATAGATGCAGCAAAAAAGTAACTGTTTTAGTCAGCTGGATATAGTAAGTTGTATTCAATTTAGAAATAAAAGTGAACATTTCTTAAATTTAGTATGGTCTCAAAATGTATTTTTTTAGCTAAATTCCATCACAATGGATTACGATATCCGTCAGATTCCATACGGAGTAATGACAGATTTCAAACAAAAATAAAGAGGCAAAAGTTATTCGGGACAAACAAAATTATCTAATATTAACAAAAATATTCACTAAAATCACTCGATTTGCAGCATATTTCTCTACAAATTTTGGTGGTTTTCTTTATAACATGACTTCCTATACACTTGCATGTTCTTTAAGCTTAAGTACACGACAATAAAAGCTCGACCTCGAAACCTTCTGTAACTCTCAATACTCAATATTGTCTTTTAAAATAAGCAGTAGCACAGCATGCGGACTAAATATCCGTTACAACGAGAGTAGAAACACGTAAATGGAACTTATTTATCACCTATCCAGTGAATGCAATGCAAAGAATGTAAAAAAGCTTTGAATAGAAAGTTAAGAGCTTATCAAAGCGAAAACAAACAACTTTTTCTATTAAGAAAAGTAGCTTATTTTGTTAAAAGTTATTTTTAGTGTTCATGATTCTGTTCTTTAAGAAGTTACAGTAGTTTCTTAGACTCTAAATGTAAAATGGCATTTAGCAGGATGAATTATTCTTTATTTCTAGACATGGTTTTACATGATGGGCCTAGAAAGCTTGTAGACTTATTAAAAAATAGAATATATATGATCTCAAACTTTTGTAATTATAATACCTAACCTTTTTTATCTGTAATTTCATTATTGTAAACTTTGGTTTGTATCATTTCAAATAAAGCTTCTATATGATCACGAGCATGCTTTACAGCTGTTTCAGCACCAGATAATTCTATGGGTATCCCGATTTCGTCATCGACTTCGACTTCATATGATATCCGACATTGAACAGTGTACTCTCTCCATAAATATTCTTGTAGACTTGAACAGAATAATGGATTTTTAAAAAATTTCACATTGACATTTGATGCTTTCATATGAAAAACATCAGCGTGTGGTTCTGGTTTATGGGTTGCATGATGCATGTTGGTAGATAAAGCAAATAATTATTCAAAGTAACTAAAAAAATAGAAATAAATACTGTTTTTTTCTTCAAGTAGTTCCTTTTAATCATCGTGCGCTTATTCTCACACAATTCTGGGTATGTAAAACACACCGAAAAATGAACTGAAGAATCAGTTTTACTGGGATAATAAAAACATTACGATCAATGTGAACGCTTGATTTTCTATATCAATATTGTCATTCACTATTGGTATGATATAACTATCAACAGCAATAGTGGAAAGAAATAACTATGAAGTATTTGATGGTGTCAACAACAGACAAAGACGATAGTTACACTTCAAAAGTATGCATTATCGCTATAGAAAGAGAAGTTTTTCTGAAGCACTGATCAATACATAGTCAAAAAGCACCGTGCTTCCTAGTCAGCTTGACAATCCTAAAGATCGTTTGTAAGCAGAAAAAGATAGTCCTTTTTCAGGTGCACTGGTAGGAATGTTTGAGGATAAGTAGATAAATGTGGTGGGTGAAGAGAAGAACCTTACCTTCACCTACCTCGTCATCAAGAATGTATTCATTCATCTCTTGAATGTTCCACACACATTTTAGTATTGCCAAGGGTTTCACGAAAAAATCTAGCTACACCCGAAAATCAAGAACTAAATCTCATTTTGAAAAAAAGTGGTAACTGAGAAATGAGACTCGTTGTAACATAAGGTGACAATAGCTGATTGATGGACAATAAATAAACGAAAAATTGTGATTGATCAGAAGATAATTAGAAAATAAACTTGATTAATGAAAAATATCCGAATGAAAAAGTGCGATAAGTTAAGAAAAATTGCAAAAAAAATCATTAGAATAGGAAACTTCAGAATTAGAAATTCAAACAATACCATTAGAGGAAGTCATGTGAGTCATCCGAAAAAAATATTAAAAGAGTCTCATAGGCGTAACATGCTGATGATAAACTGCTTTGTCGAACAGGAAATACTTCAGAAAATCGCATTGATCATAAAGCCGACAATAAGACGGATATGACTGAGAAAAGACCTCGCTGTTTCATGAAGACTAGAAGCGGCACATAATCAATGGCCTCATAATTATAAGAATAGTTTGATCAAGTAGTTTACTAGTAAGAATGAATTCTAAATTAGTCTAGTTAAGCAGTCATTGAAAGATTCGAGTAATCACGATAAGAGCTGAGCAACCACTATATATTGCATATTTAGATATGTGAGTTTCCACCTTAATCAGTTGCATTATAAAATTAGAATAGCAAAGACTGATATCCTCGGTTTCTGTGAGTTCCTACACGAACAGCTAATTAAGCGATAGTATTATGACTGAAATTAGTGAGATCTAGAAGTCGTTGAATGAAAGTAAGTCGTTCCATGACTCACAGATCATCATGACTCCAGTAGCATTAATGATGTTCGATTAGCTGTTCATGTAACCCATTGATGTTTTATGCCTACGAGAGTTTGTTTCGTATTTTCTAGGACGAAATGTTACAAAGCAGAGATAGACTTCGGAATGACAACTTAGCATTTCGAAGTGAGCTCAAAATTGATTCTCCTCTAGATGGTTAGTATATGCTCAACAGAAAGAGTTCCCTAACAAAAATATTCAAATGTAAGCTTTACCTCTATACTGCAAGCAGATGTTCTATTATGAATCACTGATATTGCCTTCTGTTGTGTAAGTCAATTCTGTTTTGATGTCCTTTGAGTACCGTATTTTTCTGCTTTTCACTTTCGCGTCAAACGCAAGAAACATAAGAGAGAATATATTTTTTTCTCGCTTTTTGTCACTACACAATGACGATGCTTTAATGGTAAACATCGATTCTCTTCTCCTATTTCGGTTGCTTCTACATTAATTATATTGTGAATCATATGTAATAGTCACCTGATTGTTTACTTGTATAGTCAGATGTTTTTATCGTTCTTTTCTGTTGTAAATGTGGTCGAAAAACGCAGTGTAACATCATTAGTCACCAGAAAAAAACAACTTAATTTCTTGATCATAGATCCAAATAATATTTCTCATCCTCTAGTAAAACATCAGAACGAGCACAAAGAATAAGAATGAGTCATGATAGAAATAAATATTTTCATACTTCTCATTCATGTTACGTTTGTCCTGGTCCTATAAATTATTCTATTTTTCTTTCCTTTTTTATCACTACAGCAAAGATTGAAGCATCCACAAAGAAGAATAAATATATGTTATGGCAACATATATTTGACATGGAAGGATTGAGTGAATAATAACATTAGAAATATACTGACTGCATAAGTTTGACATTGTCTGAAATACACGGTGTTTCCTACCTCACAAAAGTCATCTGATAAATATGCAGATCAAACTAAATTACTTTTTTTGTTTCTATTCGTATTCCACTCTGCTATCGGACCACATTTATAAGAGAAAAGAACGATAAAAACACGTGACTAATATACATGATTCACAATGTAATTAATGATGAAGTAAGCAAGATAGGCGAAGAGGATTGATGTTTACCATCAAATCATCGTCATCGTGTGACGACAAAAAATAAGAAAAAAAATATTCTCTCTTATGTTTTTTGCGTTCGACTGTGGATTGTAGAGCAGAATAAATACTCTACTTAACAGACATCAAAACAGAATTGACTTGCACAATAGAAGGCAATTTCGGTGATTCATTATAGAACATCTACTTTCAGTATAGAGGTAAAACTTACATTTGAATATTTTTTTATAAGGGAACGATTCTGGTTGAGCCTGTATTCACCATCAGCCGAAGAATCAATTCTGAGCTGGCTTCGAAATGCTAAGTTGTCATTTAGAAGTTTTTCTCCGTTTTGTAGCACTTTTTTCTATAGTACCACACTACCCACTATTAGAAGCACCGAGACAGATGTCTTGAATTCCTTCCTTATAAATTATTGTAGATGCATGCCTAATTCCAATGATTCTATATGTAATCTGAGTCTTATGAAGTTTTGTACAAATCCTGCAAATTTAACGTAGGGTTTCGAAATCCCATGGAGTTTCAATCAAGCTCACATTGGTCGCTATCAGTTTTATGACGGAGCACCTTGAAAAGTTTTCGGGATTAAGCGTGACAAACTTCAAATTATTTATTGCTAGAAAGATTATTGAAGTTGAATATCAAACATAAAGTATGTGTTTGCGCTAACATTTTCTCGAAGGTTCCTCCAATAAGGATAATATCTCGGTGATGTATATGATATTGTCACGAGATTGAGGATCGATATATAAATGAAAATAATAATCAAATTCTTTGCGTACTTCATCAGACTAGTTTTTATCATTCAAGGTAATCAGAAGAAACATGAGAAAGCATTTAATAGTGTTTTCTAGAGAAAAACCGGCAATTTCATTCGTGGAAATGCTTGTTATTTTTCTAATAAAGCAAGTATAGTAAAGCTGGCTGACAAGCGATATAAACAAAAAGAAGTATATTCATACGTATTTGGTATTATTAATCTTTTCATACTTTTTAAGAACATACAGCAACTACATAAAAAAGATACACATGTAGATTAAGATGAACTCAACTCAGAATATAGATACAAAATGTTCTTTATTATGCCGTGTGCGACACTTTTGCAACATGAGAGTATCTTTTTGATGACCGGATTTGTTTGAACCAATCTGGCTTATATAAAAGATATTCGTAAAGTTTTGTACAAGTGAAATACGTGTCTATACTTTTCTTTAATTTAGCGCAAGTTAGATCGTTTTTTATTTTACCATTAAGAAGAGAAGCCTACAACTGGTCACATCTGATTAATAAATACTTCCTCTGTTCGTCGTGGAAACTAAATTAATATTTTAATGCTAGAGCATTTTTCTTATTGATTAAACATGTCGTTCTGAGTTGAGTTGAAGAAAAAAATAACAAAACGTAGAAAACAGTAGAAAATTTTGAAAAATAGATCCTGGTATCTGGAGATTTTTTCACCAGAAGAAAGGCTAAAAAACCACGATTCTTCTGGACAAATCAGAAGATATGGTAATGCAGCATACGACAAGCAAATTTTCAGCAGATATGTATTATATGGATGAATTTTGAGTATTTCATTGTCTTTAACAAAAGTCTTATGAAAACCCACATCGATTGGTTATAGTGAATCTTTTCGATTTGAAATATATGAATAATCTCAATAAGATGACATCTTTATTTTCATACTTGAAGCTATTGACTGTCATATACTTACTATACAGGAAAATAGATTGTATGTTTTGTGAAATATTTCAATATTAAAGATTAAGTACATTACTTCTGTCTTACCCTGTATTCGATGGGGCATTGGAGTGTAAACCAAGTTGGTGAATGGCTTAGAGCGATTGGTTTTGAAAAACAAATAGCAACCTTTAAGAGTAAGTACTGTTTATGTAAGTCGTTCATCATAATTCTCTGTTACATACTTTTGCAATAGAGCGAAATATTGATGGCAGTGCTCTAAAAAAATTGACGAAGGATGATATTTCACAAATATTGTTTGTACTAAATGAAGATGGAAGGATAAAAAAGCCAACGATTGGTGAGATACGTCGGTTTCGCGAAGAGTTATCGGAATGGAAAACATTATGTGGACAAGCGAAAAAGAGAAACAAAACAAAGTAGGCAATTTACTTGGTTAAATCTATATTTCTTATCTATGATTATTTCTTGTTCAGAACACCATGTGTTTCGAAAACCGTAAGTATTTCAATGCATTGGAATGCTATTAGTACCGAAAACCTAGAAATAAATATGTGATAGTTCACGTCCATGCGCTTAGTGACAGTCTGATATTTAGATGATGCTTATTAAAGAAGTCATAAATGATCTCTTATCATTGTATATCATAGCTGGCACAAAATTGGCAAACAATACTGTAATCGAAAGTGAAAATGTTAAATCAATCTAAAAGTTTATTTTTTAAGATTTATCTGCAGTTTTGTTTCTCTCTCTTAGCGCTCAGTGAGTGAACTGTGAGTGAAATCAATTCCAGTATTTCATTATTTACACTGAAATCACACTTTCGGAGTCAATGTTCATTGAAAATTTTCACATTAGGCTGCTTTTTGAATATATTATAGAATTTATTAAACATTGTACGCACCCACATTTTCAGACTTGCAACACATTATTCCACAGTTTCTTGAATGATAATCCACCCATAACAAAATTATCATTATGCTTATTTTTCTCTTTCCGGACTTTATAGCAAGAAAATTCGAGCAAGTTATCGTTGATAATTACTCCGAATAAAAGTCAATTGTTTGCAGACCAAGATACCAATAATCAGTACAAGTATCTGATTGATGATCATATTCATGTTCAGTTCTTTAAGAATCTAAAATTTACTCCTTACTTAATCAATTATATACAGCAAGAATCATTTCCGATCCAAATTGGAATTCAACAAGTACCACAGGCGGACGAACAATCATTATTTAGCTATACTATAGAATTTTCATCAAAGGAAGAACAGGCAAAGCATGTTTGCAAAATTATTGAACGCTTATTTGGAACAGTCAAATGTAAAATATATCATCAAAACAAAGGTAAAGTTTTCACACTATCTCTGAACATTTGTTGGAACTTGCCTTCTGAGAAAACTTCCTAAGACGAGATCCGAGAAATTTATTATGAATCCGAATCGGTTTCAATATGTTTCATCATTGTATGTGAGATCGTTCCATGATAAAACCTTGGATAGAATTATTATTTTGAGCACCAAAAACAATGGTACAGCTATACAATTTTCATTGTCGCTTGAAGAATGCATTTTCTAATGTTGTTGTCAAAACAAAGATCATTTGTAGATTACTTGAAGAAAACAGTGAATTTAATTAATAACAACTCATAGAGTTCTGAGTGGTGGGAAGTCGTGACAGTTTCCTAAATTTGATATCAATTACGGCCATGGATGAAGATGTGCTGTAGATGTTAAGATTCATGAAATGCATATTCAGAACTCACTTATCATACCAGAAAGACGAGGAAACAACGTTTGAGACTCTTCCGTAAACCATGTTAATAATTATAACTATTCTATATAAGTAATGTTAATCTGGACTGAATAACAAGTCTTCTCATTTATTTTCTATTTGTGCGAACAAAATGGCTGGATGAGTGATAGAAATAAATTTTGTCAAGCAGACGAAATATATATTTACGAGAAAATATTATACAAAACCACTGCATAACACATTGAGCAATGCATCATAATCAATGACATGATTGTATCCGTTCTCATCCAGTTATTGATAGTCAAATGTTGGTTCCTATCTGTGAGTTAAGAATGCAGTATATACTGAACAAGAATGGTTACATGACAAGCATTTATTTGACGTACAATTAGTCACATTATACCATTTTAATTTGTGACTTGCTCTCATTTTTAATTGTAACCTTATATACCAAATATTGACAATGAAAGTCGTCTAACCAACGATAGGAGTGCGGAAACGAGTTTCGAAATTCTACCATATTTGTGTCATCATAATTTCTTCTGATAACTAAAGCATCCTCTCTAAGAAAAATTCTCTCATGGCGGAAATCGTATACACAGTCATGAAACAGTTTTCAAGACATTATATAAGTTACTGAAAAATCTAGCAGCTAATGAGTAATGGACGGTTTACATATTTATCAAATAATCACTAGTATAATTATTAACCACCGATGAAAGCTATCATTGATCTTAAAGGTACTGTTAGATGAAAACATAGTAGACTTATAGAGCAAACAAGTTTATTCAATGAAAAGTGTTTAGCTTCATCTCAAAGTATTGAATGGATGAAACAAATAATAAAGTATATCGCCATTCGTCAAAATTTACACGATGAGACCAAGTCGAAACTTCAAAGCAATTCATCTTTTCGAGAGAATTCTTCCTTATTACCTTTGTCATGAATTCTTTGAACAAAAAATGAATCATTTCGGTATTTGAAAAATGAAACACTGTTTAGGCGACAGATAACTTTTTTAAGGACCTATGAGCATACCACCGCCACGTGGTCGGAAACAACAAGTTTCTATTCTATGGAGGAATGGTTTGTATTCATAATTCAAAGGTTAAAAACTATCTTTTAAAAAAATATTTAGTTCAAACATGGTTACATAATCCGAGAGCACTTGGCATCATACAAGCAATAATGGATAGTGAAAATGACCTGTTTACGATATGCCAAACAAGTGAAAAACATCGTCATGCATTAGAAATTTACTATTTCAATGATGAAAAATTCAATCATTTCGCAAGTACTTCTGGCATTGATCAGATAATTCAAAATAACATTCTGCGGATAGTATTCGTATTATACTCGAAGGATTATAAACAACCAAAAGTGTCAAAAGAAACGCAAACATCAAAACATCACAATGGACAAAGGAAAGACAGTAAAGCAAACACATTATTGAAACGACAAAACAAGCAAGCAATACAATTTCAGGAAGAATTAATTGAGACAATGAAGCATTGCAATCAAGAAAATGGAATTATTTCCGTTACTTGCCACAAAATTGCTACCATAATGGCAGGCAAAAGTCAACAACACATCCAAATTTTTGGCTATTTCAAACTGGTCAATGATGCGGCACAGCAAATTCAAGATTTAGCGAATAAATATCGTTTAACAAAATATCTGTTGAACGAAATGACTTCAACACAAGTAAGTATCATCTCTATTGAAATTAATTACAATATCGAACAGGGACAAGAATCTTAATGCGTAAAACAAGTTTTAGTTGATATTTCATTTAGAAATAGATATCTGAGTCATATTTAATCGTTTGATTTTTGAACTTTCGCATGGCTCTCAAAACAAATTTGATTGGGCTCTGGAGAAATTCACCTTTTTATTTTTCGACTGAGAATCTGCACAAATGTTACCATAGACATACAATTTTCGAATATAAACTCCAAAACAAACGTATTCTACGTGACGCAACACAGGATTAACGACGCGATATGAAAATTTTCAATTAGATTTTGCATGAACACTATCGCTACGGCTAAAAAACTCTAAACTAAAGTACTAGGATTGGAGTAGTCTTGGACATCTAGAGAGATGCACCTTTTGAATTCAGCATGTCACTAAGAGTTAGCTGTCGTTTCTATTGAGTATTCACTGTCTGTTTAATCTCCACATTAACTCTCATAACGTCACTTCAATGTACGTCTGAGGAAAAGTGGCAATTGCTAGTTTCACAGTACGAATCATTACAACCATAGTTAAAGAAAATAGTCGAAACATAGACGACATGCTAGAGTACCAGTAGAACGACTAACGTAAGTAGAAAAAGCAGGTGGAAATAGTTGTATGTAGACTACCATTGAGAAGAATTGTTATCGATTTTTATATGTTGAGTATGAGTAACTTTTAGTGTAAGAAGGCAGTTATTATTCTATGATTTTTCGAGAAAAATACATTCATAAGAGTGCTAAGTTAATTGATTATTGGACTGTAGATGAAACTATCATCTTGCTACTTATGCAGTACACAGTTTCAATTTACGAAACTTTGAAGCGTGATGATAAGTAGCAGAATCTACATTATTCGTAGGAAGTGAATCGTTGACTAAACTCAACATACTACCTCAAAGCAGTGCCTAGTACGTATTGCGATATGGCACAATAATAAGAATTTCTCCAATCTAAAATAGTTAGAGCGATGGAGATTAAAATTATGAAAAACCACATGAATTTTATTAAAAATTAGCATAATATAAGTGGAGTAGCGACTAGCAATCATCGAATGCGATGAATGTGACAACAGATTAATAATTACGTCATCTATTAAATTTATATAGTTTCACATATCTCATCAAAAATATGAACAAGAGAAAGTCAGAATCATTCGAAATTCATAAAATATGTGTCAGAATTAGGGTACAAAAAAAAGAAAGTTCACACAAGCAAAAACATTCGTTTCCTTTACGATGGAGCTGTTCGTGAATCATTACAATAGTCCGTCTTAATTTTTTATTAAAGAAAAAGTTTTTTGCATACGTACTTTTTTGTATTCAGATCGACTATCTTATAAATGCCTGTCGACCAGAATTGAAAGCGATGGAGAAAGAATTTCAAAATGATCGTATACATTTCTGTCTTCGACAACGTGCATACTATGCACCACCACAATTGAAAAATGACATCGAGTCTCGTATCAACACTTTATTATCACACGTAACAACGTGCACATTCAAAACAACTGAATTATATTACGATATTGCCAATCGAGCAAGCTTAAATTTAAAAAAAATTGCTCAAAACAATCGTTGCAATTGTGATATTAAAATTGAGACAACACTAAACAGATGTACAATACCAAGAGCAATTGAAACAACATCGACTGCTTACTCTGTTTCAAAACTAATAATTGAACAATCCAATTTATTCTGTTCATCATCTATGGTCCATCGACAAGCAACATTGGCTAATGGATCACTTGAAGTTCTTATTGGCGATATCGCTGCACAAAAGGTGAGGCAATTATGCGGTATCTGTGCCATAAATCTATCACTTTTCCCTATTTTTCATTAGTAAATTCGAAATTGATTTGGAAAAGTTCTTCTAATCTTATCTATAAACATAGTTACGAATGCTTGTTGATGTGTACACTTTAGGTCGACACAATTGTTATTCCATCCGTATCACACGGCTTAAAAGAAAGTCTTATTGAACGAGCTGGTGAAATAGTGCAACAACCATGGGAAAAAAGTGGCAAGAATTCAATTCCATTCATCACTGAAACAACAGCTGGTAAATTGTGCTGTAAAAGGATTCTATTCGTAAATTGGTCATTATCAGCAATGGCAGTAACCACCAATGCGAATAGCTTACGTGAGTCTGTACGAAAATTCATTTCGAGAGTTATTCAATATGTTATCACGGGAAATGAATATTTGAATATGGCAACACAATCAATTGCGTTTGCAATTCCTGACTCATGCAGCAACGAAAAGACTCTAGCCGAAGAAATGATATATGAGACACAACGACAAATTCAATCTACAAAATCGACATGTTTAAAAGTCTCATTTATTTTCTTAGCTGACCAACAAACGATACATCAAGAATTTTTAACTATAATTTCAGCTATGAACACAATTGATAATAGTTATGGTACTCTTTTCTATCCAACATCAAGTAAGTTTGTGTTAGACCATTTTTTGAATTTCCACTCAGCTTACTCATCGCGACCAGTGGCTTTATTAGACGAATGTCTGTAGCTCTAATCTTCTTATATAAAAAATCGCAGTCGTTGTGTCAATTCTAGTACTGTCGACTGCTTCGCTACACTTTATGACTTGTTCGTATGCCAAGCAAGCATACAGAAAGCTTTTTTAAGAATTTGTCGCAAACAATATGTATTCAGGATAATTTTATAATGCTGAAATAGCGAGATTGTTCGAATGAGAAGATACTGCTGTTAAAATTAAAATATTTAAGATGTAACAAATCTAGAATATTGGCAAAAAGTCTAACTTCTTGCAAAATGGATTTTCTAAAACGCTTCCTACTGAGAACCTTCAAAGAACGTTGTAATATGTCATTTTTAATAGTTTTGTCGAATTTCATATTTGTAACAGTCGTACATTAAAAGATAGAAAAGGTCGTATAAAAGCCTGGGTATATTTAAAAAATATTACAGCACACCCTTTGAGATACGTTCACAACCGAGAATTCTGACGTTCATAGTTCAAATGCCTTAAGCAAGCATATAGTCAATGCTGTTATAAACTCAATTATTTATATTAGAATCATGTTTTTTGACCGAAAATAGAATCATACATTCATACACGAGTTGGTATTAACATCAACATTTCTTACAAAAGTCATGCTGTGTTATGATTTTACCTGATTAAATTCAAGATCCCCAAAGAGGACTTCGATTCACGAGAAAAATATGGGCAAAGTATTATGAACACTTTGATGTAGATGAAATCTGCTGTAACACACAGTTTGGGGTTTTTTCTCGTTCCTTGATAACGGAACGTACAGTAGCAAGAATGCTGGCACTTCTGCTACCGTCACACTATCTTTTTTCTTGATGAAATGATTGAATCTAAAAATGGCGTATTCGTAGTGGTGATCGACTTTTTAAAGCTTCCAATTTCGACTGAAATTACTTTAAATATAGTATGTTCGTGATAGAAAAACTTAATTTTGTCACAGTTTAATAGAAGTCGAGCATGAATATTAAAGAATATATAATGATATCAACGACTATGTGCTTTGATTCAAAAGTTGTTTCTAGGATTAAGAGCATCAAAAATATTGAACATGATCTAACTTTTAGATTCTTGCGACACATTATTTAGAATCTATCCAATGACTAAAATCTCTCCTACTCTATGAATACAATGTTTAATTAAATATGAATTGCATTCATCATACAGAATGATAATGATCTCAAATTATTTTCTTATAGACTCCTGTGAAAATATATACATTGAAGTGTTTAAAAGAAATCCATTAGTTAATCACGTTGAACATACTTTTTTATCATTTGTTTTAGCTATTACAATTACATTGACATCATCAAAACAAGAATATTTAATAAAGTGTCAAGAGAAAATAAGCAATTACATAAAACGATGTATGACTGAAATAGAATTGAATGGCTTCAATAATTGGAATCAGTATTTGATCAATGCCTATTATAAATATTGTAATGATAGATGTATTTTACCGCAAATGGACAATGATAAACGAATCATACTTAACGGTTCGATCACTGGCGTAAACGAAGCGAAACAAAAATATCAACTGACAGTTGCGCTAGTTGAAGAAAAAATACGCTTACAACAATCTTTACTTGAAACATCACAACTGATATCCGCTGTTCAATTGCTAACACCCGACCTTACATCGACAGCTGAGCCTCTCACATGTTACAATGTTATGCTAAGTTATTGCCAAGAAGATTCAGTTGCGTGTCATCACTTAGCAAATCGTCTTATAGATGAAGGATTTTTCGTATGCCTTAGCTCCCATGAAACGCACGATCACAATGAGACATTCTCTCGAATGAAGAAATCTGATTGCCTTATTCTTTGTATCAGTGAACATTATTTTGAGGATGAACATTGTGAAAAAGAAGCGAAGTATGCCTGTCAACTTAACAAACAAATTATTCTCGTCAAAATTCAATATTGTAAACCAGTCGATTGGCTACAACAATTATTCGTGGATCATTTATATTTTCAAATGTTCGGATCAGAAAATCAGTTTGATCTAGTATTTGACAAGCTATTACTAGAAATAGTAAGTGTCATGGATTTTAATGTTTTATTAAAAAATTGTATGCACCGTTAATGTTTTTGCATAACTTTTCCATCGTCTGTGTAGATATCGATGGCATTAGTCATTTGTCTTTGAGTTTCAATTATTAGACACCACTTTTAAGCGATTTCCCAGGATTTTAAAGTTATACTATTTCGGAAAAAAGTCGTTTTGCCTGCGTATAGGAAGACAGGATTTGAACTTTTCTAAATATATTCTGAAAAATTATCTTTGGATCGTATTTTATCATAACTTTTGGCAAATTTTCTAAATATATCACATACATTTCTATCGTGCTGTTTATCTTTTAGTTACAATATACAAGTCCCAGTAGTATTGCTCTACGGCAACAAACATCCAGTGAGACAAATACATCGGCACAAGACGAAGTATCTATGCATAGTCGAAAAATTACAAAATTACACACGCCATTAACTGTCGAACAACGCAAATTAATTCATCAAACAAACATAGAACATTTGATCAGTTTTGACAAAGCGGAGCTTGCTGAAGATGAAAAAAAAATTGCTATAGAAGTAGTGGACGATATTATACGTGAATTAGAAGCTCGCTACGTCAGATGTGTGGCAAATAATCAATATGAACAATATTCACCAAGTACATGTAAGCTTCTAAAATGTTTCTCTATTGGTTGATTTTATGCTTCCTAATTTGTATTACATTCAGATAATCAAGAATTAGAAAGACGAAAAAACCAAATGGAGCAACAAATTTACTTAGATACTGGGATATTATCGTATAGACATTGGTTAAAACAAGCTTCAAATCTAAAAACGAAGCAAAATATTGCGCCATTTACAGTTTCAGGCGATATTAATGATGCACCATTTCCGATGTTGGACGAAGTTTTTGAAAATCCACAACTATGTCTTCGTCCTTATACAAAACAATTTTCACCATGGACTAGTTTATTCAAAAGTAACATATGGCCTATTGCGTGTTCTGGATATTCGTCCCAATGGTATTACTATTATTATGGAGCATCGAGTCTTGGTTCCTCGCACTATTTCGATGCCATGGGGTATCGAATTATTCGCTATAGGTCTTGGGGAATGTCGACTGAAAAACAAATAAGACAACGGCAGAATATGATTGATTCAAGCAACATGATTAAACGACGAAAAGAAATTGCACAATATTTTATTGAAAACTATAAATACATCACAGAAGAGAATTTGAAATCATATTTACAATTTGCTCAACGTATGAAAGACAACGCGAATGAATTAACAAGACTATGCGAGATGGATATAAATTCGACACGAAAACAATCAAAGCAACAAACTCAAGCATCTTTAACAGCTATATTTTCTTTATATACTGAACCTCAAGGGCAAGAAGCATCAACAATAACTTCAAAAATTGAAATTCCATCAAAGCTCTCACGTAAATCTACTTATTATTCGAATACACATTCCATATTGTATAACAGATCGTCTGTTTTCCAAATTATTCTTTGAACGTGTCACATTCATAATTAAATTCATTCGTTACGAAAAATTTGAATATCATCGTACATTAGTTGACTGCGAACGAATTCCACTAGCAACTAACTGTTTCATTACAGCTTCTTCTAATAAAGGATATTATTTGTTGTATTTTTTGAATAGATCGAGAATGATTACAGCTAGGCAGTAAGTTTGGCACTAGAGAATAATCGATTTGCATAAAGTTGTGATATAAGCATACTATGTATATCATTTAAAAGATTGATGGCTAACATGAAAACTAAAAAATTTATAGCTAATTCAAAAAGATTAAAATATTTCATGTGGGTCATGTTGTTTCTCGAAATTTTTTGAAGTTAGGAGTTATTTCATAGTATTGTGATCAATAACCTTTAATTTAGAAGATTATTGGTTCTCAATCGACGTAACCTTTTAAGGTTGTTTACAAAGGGTTTTTTTTTATTTCTTCCAACAATCGAGACTGTTAGAATTGATAATCAAATATTAATAACTCATGACAAAAATATTTCAAAAATCAAAATCCTGTCTTCAATCTTGCTTTCTCACTTATGATTCTCTTTTGGCGACATTTAATTGTATGGTAGTATAGTAGTAACTCAAATCTCTGTGGTTTCAAAACGTTTCTATGCTGTTTTGCAGATGACAATCCTGGCGCCATCAAAAAAGCATACTAACTTTTCTTTAAATTGAAATCGACTGTGAGAAAAATAACAGACAATTCTATCGTTATTCACATCGTAATCACGCAAGTATTGTGTCGAAAGTATTTTTCATTCGCCAATTCCAATTTGTATGTCCTAAACAAATGATTTGAAGCAAAACCAAATCTACAGTATTGTAGAAGAAAATGCAATCAACTTGTGCAGACACCACAAGAAAATATTTTATTCAAAGGTCTTGTGGAAATCTAGACAGTCAAGAAAGGGGCAGAATACATTTTCCCATATTCTTTTTTGAAGTATTTATTAAGATCTGTTTAACTTTTGCTTCATAGCCAGTGAAAAAAACGTGCTGAATAACTTAAAATGTCGTTGGTACTTTTTTTACCTATGCTTCTCTATTTGTACAATAATAAAATTGTGTATCTAAGCTTTTTCTTTGAGTATTGCTATGGTCGATGTCATCGATGCATAGCAGCATCTTAAGTTTGTCCGTGAAGCATTTAAATGAAATATCAATGTCTTTCAATTTCGTTCAGTTCTACAAAATAAATAAATAACATAAAAACAAAATCAAAATCAAATGTTTCTGCATTGAAAACTATCTGAAGATGTATTCAGTGATCTTACATATCTATACATGTAATAATCTTCAAGTGATATTGATTAGTTGCGTATTTAATACTCATAGTAAAAATTTTAATTGAATTTTGAAATATACATAGTTTTACGATTAAAAAAACATACGTTCAGATGAAGCCAATTGAGAGTGCTGTGAACGCTCAGAAGTCTCTGATGTGAATTTTACCATAGAGGTACTTTTTTCGAATAGCGAATAATTGCAACCTGCTAATTTGAACAAGTAGGCTTTCATAGTAAAACGTTTTGTCCATAAAAAAAATAGCAGTGATAAAGCACTAATGACCGCAAATGTCAGAAATAAGCCACTCATTGTGTCCATTGCCATACCAGCCGGTATATCAGATGTACCAGAACAACTACTTATTTGAAACCATTTTCTTTTTAAATCATCAAGAATGCCTGATTCTCTTAACGATAATATGTTGACATCTAAATCCTGTTCATATAACCAGCGTTTCGGAATAACAATGGCTAATGAACTCTCATCGAAATCTGAACCAACTAAAGTTAAATTACAATATATATTATTTGTTACATATTGTGCAGTACCACTATCCATAAAAGAAGCATCAATCAAATTATTAAGTAGACTATCGTACATATGTTGTCGAGAGTTTAATGGATAAAAGTTTTTGTTACCTCCAGAAATTTCTCGCAAATAATACTCTTCACCAGCTGTACCTATACGAACACCAATACGATTAAATGGAATTTTGCCATTTTTTATATCATCGATCCCAGAAATGATATCCTTTGCCTTTGATATTGTTAAATCAGATGCTAAATTGGCGGTATAAGTTGCTACTAATACTAAACTTAAAAGATATAACCCAATAGTCAATAGACGTCCAGCAGCTGTTGTAACTTGAAAATCTGCACCATATCCCATAATTGTGCCAACAGAATACCACCAACTCATTGTAATTGCAGAAATCAATGATCTATTTCGTAGTGATCGGTTTTCAAATCTCTCAAGTAAACATATTAAGAAAGCAGCAAAGATGCTAGTAATTAAGAGCATCATCCAAAGACTAAATGAGAATGGTGCCAAATATGCAATGAGATCTACTTTATTCACCATTTTTTTCCGCATTATAATACGTAAGGAATTATCAAATATGGAATTCGAAAATCCGGCTTTTTGTCTTCGTGCAGCAGTAATTGTGACATCAGCTACAACTATATCGTAAACGCCGTTTGCAACTGCATCAACCAATCCAGAATAGGTTTGATTTGAAGGTGCTAATATAATATGAGGAATAAATCCCATCTTATTCTGTAAAAGATTAATAAGATCGGGTACGTAACCGACTAAGTTTGTTTGTCTTTGTCCATATTCATCTATGGTACTTGAGATGATTGTAAACGGAATCGATTCAGTGACACCAATGCGTAAGATTACGTTTGAAAGTCTTGCACGACCATTAGGAGTTACTAATGAATTACCCGGCCACACAATTGCATTCGATCCTTTAAATTCTCTCCAGTTGTCAGTATCAGACCATTCTAACACTGGTACATAAACCACACTGTTTATAGAAGGTTGAACGTTTTGTGCCAAATAATATGTACCATTTATTCGGTTTGTTACATTAGTACTAAACTGAATAGGACCAGATACGCCAAGAAATTCAGTGCCGATAATTCTATTAAAATAAGCGTTAGAATTGAGAAAACGGCTATCAAAACAGAATGAAGATCTGATAAACGACATGCATGAAGAATTATTATTTACACTTGTTGAACAAAGTTGTTGCAATGACTGAATCAATGACCAAGTCGCATCAAATGCAAATAGTGCGTAGTTATTAATCTGTGGTGATCCGAAAAATGATGTAGATTCGTACTGTTCCCATATATGATATGCTGCATTCAATAATGTTCTATTAATTGGTTTACTCAATACATCTCCTACAGTAGGTTGGATTGTCAGCATTCCGATTAATTTTTCATAAAATGTTCTATTGAACAACTTCAACGGAACACTTGAACTTAATATCCATGTAAAATGTGGGCCGAGTACATCAAAATCGAGTGCAGATTGTAGAATCAAAGATGTATAAGTTGATTGAGCCCACAATATTACAATTCGTGCTGAACTGCTAATTAAGCTTTCTTTTAAATTACCTTGAATGTCCAGTTTGGAAATATCAAACGGAACTGTCCGCCTCACTTTCAAACCATTGTTATTAAATGTCTGTTTTATTGCTTTGACTCCACCGTATCCAAAAGCATCATTTTGATAGATAATTATACATGATGTCCAATTAAACTTTATGAACAGTTGTGCGATCGATAATGCAGCAGTGTTATCTGAAGGAACTGTACGATAGAATGCAGGATATGTAACTCGATCACTTAAATCTGGATCAGTTGCAGCATATGATATTGCTGGAATACCGATTTTATTGGCGAAAGGAGCAATAATGTGAGCTTCTCTTGAGTATACTGGACCAACAATGCCAACGATCTTTTCATTTGACACTGCTAAACAGGTATTGCTGAGGGAATCGATTACATCTCCTCTTGTTTCCATAATTTGCCATCCAATAAATTCTCCATCGACTGTCATGTTGTATTGATGTGAAAGAAGTATTGCTGCTTTAAACATTGCACGACAATGAATAGAAAATTCACTAGATTCAGAGGCGTCTGACGTGTCTTCAAAGAGACCTAATAATTGTATGCTTGAAAAGTTGGACGATGACCAAGTTGCTCTCGTGTATTGTGCATCCAGTTGCTCGATTATTAGAATCAATAATAAAGATTGGAAGCTCCAGAAGTACAGCATTAATGTTTTTGATTGACAAAGACTAATGATGGTTGGTCAAAGCTAAAAACACAATCAGAAATTACGCTGAAGTTTGATACACAACACTCAATTCTTAAATAGATTTATTCCTTATCGAACTAAAATTTTTCTTGTACTTCTTCTCATTCAGCATTATTTTAAAGGATATGAATACAAAGATGAATTCTTGGTGTATGGGTTGACTAATCTTCCGATTCTTGATGAGAAATATATTGTGGGAATATCTTTCCTAGCATTCAAATTCAAACTCGACAAGTACGTTTTGATGATTTTATACAGCTAAGTCAATCTATCGTTTCGCAGAGAAATTGACATGGTATCTTTCACTTGAAAATTACATGTCATTCGAATTTTACTGGATCGCCCAATATATTGCGAAGCTCTAAACTGACAAGCATAAAGAAGACATATTTCGAAGAAGAAAAAAATGAATAGTTTTTCTACAATTGATGACGCAACGCGTTTCTCCGAAATATATTTACGTTTCACTCAAGCAAGTATTCTTTTTTTCTGTCGCCATAAATCGTAAGAATTTCATTTCTATAAATCAGTTGATCGATGTCAAAAGAAAACTGAGAAACTATCATCGCAATTTCTGTTACTAAGAAAACATTATCCAGCTCTATCGGCATATATCAGATGAACACTATTCATTGTTCGCTTAATTCTCATTATGATTCATTATTGATCATCAGCTGCATTCACGATTGTCATATCTAAGATCACTTATCCAAAAAGAATCATGACAAAATTTTGTTGCTCTCGTCGCTCCAATTATGCAGAAGTTTAAAAATAACAAAGTTCAGAAAATTTTGATTTTTTCTGAGTAACTCTAAGAAGAAAAAATGGAATGTCTTGCTCGTGATGAACAAACGGATGGTATCTATTTGATCTCGATATATTGTTCTTACATTTCAACATTTAGTGTCTGCCCTAGAGAATGTACTGAGTTAAGGGTACCCGAAAAAGTACCCTGTTACCAGTATGTCACAGGAACTTTTGGGTACCAAAGTACTTGGAAGTACTTTCAGGTACCTAAGTGGTACTTTGACAAGTACCCTGCTACAAAATGTGTAGTAACTGGGTACTTGAAGGTACTGATCAGATACTCAATTGGGTACTATTGTATAGTATTTCTAGGTACCCTGTTTCAAAAATTTCAGTATGTTCAGGATCGAACCTGACTTTTAATTTTTTTTAATTTTTGTTTCTCTCAAAGCAATTTACTACATTTTTTTTTCGATTTTATTCAATTTAGTTTTTTCAATTCCGAAAACTTAGCAGGTACAATGCCGAGATCTGACCCGACTTCAGTTGGCCAGGTATCCATCAGACCCCTTCAGAGTGGTCTGCTCTTAATCTACGATCAAGATCGGCATGTTCTCGACTAAGAAATAGTCAAGAAATAATCTAGAAAAAATTAGTATGAAAATAGATTAATTTCTTATGTCTTACCCAGTTGTTTATATGGAGCCGTGAGTGAAAAAGAAAACGGTGAATGAATAGTCGCTACACAGAACGCGACAAATATAGGGTACCCTGTATAGCTTTCCTCAGTAAAATTACAGATGCGAGTACCCATACAAGTACTTGTTCAGTAAGCATACTTTTATGGGAACCACACGCAGTACCTACATCAGTATAATTACTGAGAATTTTTGAAGTACCCATATTGGGTACCCTGCTAGGGCTTTCTCAGTACATGGGTACCCTGAACTCAGTACTTTCTCTAGGGTGGTTTTCTCGTTCTCGAGATAGTTCTGATAGACATTACGAATTTTTCATACATACCTTGGTAGAAGACGAAAGCGAGCAAACAATCACGAAGGACTACATAAATACTTTGCTTCGCAGTGCATTAAATAAATACAAAAACAAAACTCGGTAGAACTATATTAATGTTGTAATTCGCACAGCATTAAATATCGATATCTCATAAAAAAAGAATAATCGTTTCCAGGATTGAATACAAAACGCTTTTTTTCAAACGATGTTTACCTTTTAATTGAATGATTTTTTTTGGCTGCCACAAATCGCAACATTGATGCCTTCATCCAGCAGCTTATCGAAATGAGACAGAAAGTGAAAGGATTGCATTGCCAAAGTCATTACTAACAGAAGTGATTTAACTTGTATTAATATGTTTCTAATGAAACTTATTGGTCTATTGCTTGATGATCGCTTTGATACATTATACGTCTTATCAGCTACAATCACAACTGTTATATCTCAAATCAATAATTCAGAGAGGATAGCAGCTAATTTTTGTTATCGTCTTCATTTTAATTATATTGCAATTTAAAACTAACAAAGTTCAGAAAAATTCGTCTTATTGGATAGCTCGAAGAAAGAAAAATGGTACATCGCGTTCGTGATCAACAAAAGAATGATATCGATTCGAGTTCGATACGATGATCACGCATTTCAACGAACATTTTGTGATTTTTGATTATCGAAATAATTGAGACGCAAAACACAAAGCTCTGATGTATACGCTTCTGAAAGAAAGAAGTAAAGAGAGAAAAAATCGAATTAAACTGCATTAATGCTCTACTTTGCATCGCATTAAATATCGATATCTCATAAAAAACAAATAATCGATTCTACAATTGAATACGAAATACTTTTGTCCAATCGATTTTTGCCTTTCAGTAGAATGATTTTTCTTATGTCGCTGTAAATCGCAAAAATGATGCCACCATTTCAGGAGTTTATCAAAGTGAGAAAGAAACTATGAAGTAACCTTGACGAAATGTATTACTAAGAGAACTCATTTAACAACTATTAACATATTTCTAATGAAACCTATCGTTTCATTGCTTGATTCTCGCTGTGTTGCTGTGATTCATTATATGTTATCAGTTGCATTCACAATTTTCATTGACAACAAAACCATTTATTTGAAGAGAGTCACGGCTAAATTTTGTTGTCGTCTACATTTTCATTATGTTAAAGATTATAAATTATGAAGTCCAGAAAAATTCGTTTTATTAAGTGTCTTTAAGAAAGAATCGGGTAACGTCTTGCGTGTGATCAACACACAGATAGTACCGATTCGATCTCGATTTGTCGAGAACACATTTATACGATTATTTTCTGATTTTTTGATTATCTATACGATTGCTACACAAAACACGAACTTTCGACGCGCATATTGATAGAAGAAAACAGGAAAGGAACAAAAAAATCGTCAAAGGTCACATAAATGGTATAATGCGCATAGGATTAAAATTAGAAAACGCAAGACGAAATTTTGGTCGCTTTCTGTGGATGATACCAATTTTATCGGATAATTTTTTGTTATAGCAGGCCCACGCAGTTCTTGTAATTGAATGAACTGAACAATTGTCGTGTATACCAATTAGAGATGTTACTTTATTTTTACTTTATAGAATAAATATAAATACAATCTTTCTGCTGTGTTAGTAAATAGACAAATACTTAGTATAACGACAGGAAATGTTAATCAATATTCTTCCTTATCATCAACATCATCGAGATATGTGATATTTGAAAAAATGAAGTTGATACATGAAAAAAGACATGCCAAAAACTCTTCGGTAGCTTTCATTTCCATCTATGGTATCATAACTTTTGTGAACCACTTGGTAAGAATTAAAGATTATGTCCTCATAAAAATAAAGCTTTTTTTATTATTCATTTTAACTTTATTATATAAAGATAAATATTCTATTTATATTTATTCTTTATTATAAATAAAAGTAAAAATTAAGTAACACTCTTAATATCAATAATTGTCCGTATTATCTTTTGGTACATTTAATTTCAATTTTCAATGATTGTGAGTGTCTCATGAGAATGCGGATCTTCTCTTCGCCCATACCAACACTGATACCCACAACAGTACTTGTTATATCAAGTTTCCCAGGCGGAAGTCAATTGTGCATAATATCTGCTGTTGTTGATGCGCACTTTGTTGAAGAAACTTACATTTTGATGTCTGTACCTGAAACACAGTAGTTGGTATTAAATTGAACTTTATCCTTAGATCGTAGCAGATCGTGACATCTATCGATTGGTTATATCATTAGCTTTTTTCAGCTTCTATTCTTTCTCGATCTCTTTTTATATGCATCACTATCGCCAAGTCCAATATGAAGAACACATGGCTATCTCTAGTTCTAAATCGAACTTTTGCTTATCATATTCATGCTGATATGTTATTTGTATTTATTTTCATTTTAAAGGTAGCTCTTATGAATAAGATTTAATTAGAATTAGACGAATTTTGTGGTAGAGATGAAGCTGCATCAAAGCATATTTCTTCTACAGGTGTTAGAGAAACTGAAACATTACCATCAATTGTAGCTTTATCATCAGTTCCGTCGTTTTTTTTCCATTAAGTCCATATCCATCATTATTACCTGTTTAACTAGAAGAATTAGTTTCAAAAGTGAATGTTATAAATGAAAAGTTTGTGATTACTCATCCAGTTCTTTATTCCATTACAATTGTAATTTATCGAAGAATGATGAAGTTGGTGAAAAGATAGATTTGACATCTACTTGATCTAAACATCGTGTTTAATATTTATTCAATTGGGAAAAACGACCTGAAAGATTTACCTGTTGGTTCTATTTTAAAGACACTCGAATGGGTTGTCGTTTATGTGATAATATGGCAAAATTAGAAATTTTAATGGTGGCATACAAAATCATAGCACGATGGTTTTAGTTTAAAACACTTGAACGCTTACTACTTCAACTATAAGGAAATGTTAATTGTTCTGTTTCTCCTTTTAGCGCAAACTTATGTAATTTACAAAGTGACAATTGTTC